TCCCTGGGTAATGGCAGACACACTGAGGTATGAGGAGCACTGATTTAAGAGAAAGATCTATAATATATTCTCTGTGACTCAAACTGATTAGGTTCATCTCTAGGTCCACAGGCATTTCTCAAGAAACTACTTGTACAGGCAGGTATTTTACAGGTGTTCCTGCCCTGTATTCCTTACCCTGGAGGGGTTCAGGGGACTCCCAGCGTGAGAATGGGTAGCCCTGCCTAGCCATATGCATCGTGAGAATTTGCATTGTAAACCACAAACTCCTATGCAAAATCTGGATGGCCAAAGTGCTTCAGGTGTTTTCCTATTCTAGAATGTTCATATGTGCTTACCTTATATTAAGTAACTTCCCTCAGTGCGATTCCCCCAGATAATATTCTGAAGTTTATTATAAATGTTGACACCAAAAAGAATAAAGGTCCCAAAGATCGGGTTAAGTTTTGGCACCAAATTGAATACAAATTTTTCAGAGTGGGAATTTGGAAATTGTGGATCTAGGTTTATTTTTGTTATTTGACTTTCCTTAAAGTTATATTATTTGAATAAAGTTAGAAACCCTGATGTAGTCTCCTTTCCAGCCCTTATTAACCTCAGATTTGCAGGAGCCATAAGAGCTAGATCTCCTTTTAAACATAAAGCCAACCACATGCTTCCCATCCATAAAGTCATACTTACTAAACACTCACAAGGAACTTCACTGCATTTTTCCATGCCCCGGAAGCTTGTAGAAGGTGGAACTTGAGTAATAACCTGATTATTTTTGTCTCTGTGTGTGCGGTACTAGGGTTTGAACTCAGGGCTTTGCACTTGCTAGGCAGGTGCTCTGTCACGTGTCTCCAGTCCTTTTGGCTGTGGTTAGTTTTAAGGTCTCACTTTTTACTGGGCCAGCCTAGACCATGGTCTTCCTATTTGCACTTCCTTTTGTAGTTGGGTTAACAGGTACATGCCACCACACCCAGATTTTCTACTTAGATGAGGTCTCATGAATTCTACCCAGTCTTGCCTAGAACTAAGATTGTCCTGATTGCAGCCTCCTGAATAACTAGGATTACAGGCATGAACCATTATGACCAGCTTAAATTTTCTTTTCTTTAGAAACAATTTATGTTGCCTTGAACTCCTGTGCTCAACTGAACCTCCTATCTAGCTTCCTCAATATTTTTGAGGCCTTAGTGCATAAATCCATGAATTGATGGTGTGGTGTGTGTGTGTGTGTGTGTGTGTGTGTGTGTGTGCACGCGTGCTAGGCCTTGAACTAGGACCTAGGCACTGTCCCTTAGCTATTTTGCTCAAGGCTGGCACTCTACCAGTCGAGCCACATTCTCTACTTCTGGCCTTTTGGTGGTTAATGGAGCTAAGAATCTCATGGTCTTTTTAGCCTGGGCTGGTTTCAAACCACAATCCTCAGATCTTAGCCTCCTGGGTAGATACGATTACAGGTGTGAGCCACCAGTGCCTGACTGGATGGATGCATTTTTAGCAACAATGTGACAATGCTGTATAGAACTGTTTTGTTACCTGTGCTTTGCAGTTGTAGAGAGTAGTAGATAACATGTCATATAGCTTCGTTTCAAAAATCTGCATGCCCAGCTGTGGTGGCGCATGCCTATAATTCCTATCTATACTCAGGAGGCTGAAGCAGGAGGATTGAAAATTTGAGGCCAAGTTTGGATACCATCCTTTTACACACACACACACACACACACACACACACACACACACACACAACTACCACCACCACCACCACAAAAATATCTGTGATTTGAAATCAGGGCCTTGTACTTGTTGGGCAGGTATTCTACTACTCTAGGACATCTCCAGTCCTTTTCACATTTATTACTTTTTTTTTTTTTTTTTCTTTTTGCTTATGTGGTGCTGAGGAATTGAACCCAGGGCCTCAGGCATGCAAGGCAAGCGCTCAACCACTGAGCCACCTTCCCAGCCCCATTTATTACTTTTTTAAAGGGTTTTTCATTTATGTCCAAGCCAGCATGGACCCAGATCCTATTTTTATTTCTCACATAGCTGAGATGATACGCAGGTGCCAACTGCTTAGCTTTATATTTATCCATGGAGTCTCGAACATTTTGCCTAGGCTGGTCTTGATCTGGATTCCTCTGATCTCTGCTACCTCAATAGCTAGGATTACCAGTGTCACTGCGAGCCTAGTATTTTTTTTTGAAATGAGGTCTTGTAGATCAGGCTGACCTGGAACTTGAGAACCTCTTGTCTCAGTTCCCCAAGTGCTGGGATTACAAGTTTATGCCACCATGCTCAGCTGCAATGAGTGTTCTTTTAAAGACTATGTTGCTTTAATGCAGGGAGATGGAACCTAGTGCTTTACACAGGCAAGTGCTCTTGAGCCAGACCCCAATACCCATCCCCCTTTGTCTTGTTTTTTAGGTAAGAGTGATTTTGAGATAGGGCTCTGTAACTTTGCCTGGACAGGCCTTTAACTCATAATCTACCTGTCTCCAAAGTAGTGTGCCACTTGTTCACCTTGGAGATAGTTATTAAAGAGCAGCTTAAGTTGAGTACAGTGGCAGACGCTGTGGATGAGGCAAAGACTAGGGAAGATTACAGGCTCACACTTGTAATCTTAGTTTCTCAGAGGCTGAGATTTAAGGATCATGTGGATCAAAGCTAGCCAGGCAGGACAGTTCATGAGACTCTTATTTCCAATTAGCCACTAAAAAGCTGAAAGGAGCTCAAATGGTAGAGTGCCAGTCTTGAGGGGAAAAAAAAGCCAAGTGTGAGTGCGAGGTCCTGAGTTCAAGCCTCAGTATTGGCACCAAAATAGAAAACAAAAAGAAAAAAGTAATTAGTCTCCAAGATCCAAAAACAATGTCATGGTGTATGGAATTCTAAGACAAATAGAAAAGCTGTGTGACATCAGGCACAAGGAGGTAGAGGAAATGTTCCAGATCTGAATGAGATTTAAATCTCAGCTCTTCCTCTCCCTCTTTACCTCCTCTCTTTCTTCGTGGGTGAGAAGGAAGAGTGTAGGACTCTGGGCCTCAACTACCTTGTCTATGAAATAACTGGAGATTGTCAGGAGAATCATGTTTGGCTCTCTGTAGGTGTTCAAGGAAATAACTTTCTCTCCCACCTCATAGATATCATAACTTACAGAATCAAATGACCAGAGGGTTAGAACACAGGATGTAAGAGGAATGGAAAAAGGATTATATACATTTATTGTGGAAAAGAGCATCGAGTCTGGACAAGAGAAAATAAATGATGACAGCTACCGGTGACACCTGTCAGCACCTACTCGTTCACGTCAGCACCTACTTGCTTGCCCAATATTTGATTCAGTCTGGCTGGTCCTCACAGCAGGCCACAGGCAGTGAGCTACACTGAGGAAATAATATTGCATAATTTTCCCGAGTCACTCCGCTACATAGAACTGTGGAGCTTCGAACTCGGGCCAGACACAGCACTAGCTTAAGCACAGATTTTATTCCCAGTATGGGAGGCAGCCTGGGGAGGGGTGAAGGACCAGGGCCATGGCTGTCAGCCACTGCTATCAGGGACAGGCATGGCCAGAAAAGACAAAGGCAAACTCTTTGGCTGGTATTCATCAAGAAGGGAAGAGCACAGGACTCTTGTCTTTATTGTGGGTCTCATCTGAATGCAGGAACAATTCCATTTTCCCTAGAAGAAAATGGGCTTTGAGCAGAAAAATCCTAGTGAGAATTTAAGGCCCTGAGTTAACCCTGGGGGGGGGGGAGGGAGGGGGAGTAATGAGAAGAGAGAGGACAGGGGCTGGGAAGGTGGCTCCCTTGTAGTGTGCTTGCCTTGCATGCATGAGGCCCTGGGTTCGATTCCTCAACATCACATAAGCAGAAAAAGCCAGAAGTGGCACTGTGGCTCAAGTGGTAGAGCACTGGCCTTGAGCTGAAGAGCTAAGGGACAGTGTAGTGTTCAGGCCCCATGAAAAGAGGGGGGGGGGAGAGAGAGAGAGGAGAGAGAGAGAGAGAGAGAGAGAAAGAGAGAGAGAGAGAGAGAGAGAAAGAGAGAGAGAGAGAGAGAGAGAGAGAGAGAGAGAACAAGAGAAAGAAAAGGGAAAAAGAAACGGGGTTCTGAGACCTAAGCACCCTGGCCTCCTCACTGAAGGGCACTTGATCCTCCAAATTCTCCTCCATGTCCTGCATTGCAGAGATGCTGCCTTTGCCTCAGGCTGGCCACTCCCAAGAATTTATATATTTGTGTGTATATTTATACACATACCTATACATATATGTGATGTAAAACCACATAAAAATATTCGAATTGAAAGTTAAAGTTTCTCAGCCTCATTTCTCAACCTCTGGGTCTCTGGTCTCTTATTCATGGAACAGGTGTGACAACTTAGGGCTCTGGGCAGTGGAGCTGGCCGTGGAGCTCAGGGCTCCTTTGCATGCACCCAGGGAGTGGGGAGACAGGCGGGGTTTTCCCTTCACCCTCCTTCCCTAATGTAGCTGAGCAGCAATGGCTGGAGCTCCTGCATCTGTGTCCATGTGTACTTTCTCTCTGGGGCAGCACGGTCCTGTTTTATCTCCATCACTTCTCAGGCATTGGAAGCATACTTTCTGTCCCTGCTGGCTTTCCCTTTGGTGGAGCCAGGGAGAGGCCAGCTCACTGACATCTCATATTTTATTCTCACAGACAGAGGCCTACCACAGCCATACGTCCAGCTCATCATAATGGGATACTCAGTTGAAGACGAGTCCCAAAAGCTCACTGGATTTAACTCAGAGAAATTATTTTCGTCCCTTTTTCTAAATCTGATTTTGAACCATGGGACTTAAATTGACTCTGAACAGGGATCCACCTTCTTTTTTTTTTTCTTTTCTTTTTTCTTTTTCTTTCTTTCTTTTTTTTTGCCAATTCTGGAACTTTAACTTAGGGCCTAGGCACTGGCCCTGAGCTTCTTTTGCTCAAGGCTAGCACCCTACCACTTGAGCCACAGCACCACTTCTGGCTTTTTCTGTTTACACAGTACTAAAGAATTGAACCCAGGGCTTCATGCATGCTAGGCAAGCACTCTACCACTAAGCCACATTCCCAGCCCACTGATCTACCTTCTCAGTGACCTAAGAAAGAGCCCAAGCCCTTCATTCCACTCCCCTGAGATCATGTGGGAAACAAAAGCCACACAGAGGAAAGAGGGCCACAGTTTGCTATTGTCCAGTGAGTGTCTCTTGGCTTTAGAATGCTGCCACATCCTGCAGTTCCAGTGCCTGGCCATGGCTCATTTTGAGTAAGTGAATTCCTCGGTGGAAGCTTGCACACAACAAGAAGCTGGTATCACCAACAGCCATGGAGGTCAGAGGTCCCGATCCATCCAGAGACAAGGTGAAAAGGCATGCTGAGGGAATAAGGGGCACCAGCAGGTTAGGCCAAGAGCACCAACCGTCATGTAATGTTTAGCCATTCCCAAAGGAACAGCATCATCAGGGAACTGTATCAATGGACAACATCATAGCATACACATACACATGCCTAGACAGGACAGGACACTATACACCTGACCACAAGGTGTAGATCATTGTACAAGTGGCCTGGCAGTGGCTGAAATGCCATGCAGCGTGTGACTATACATGAGACATGACGTCCTCATGAGCACTGCAGGAACAGAGCATGTGCTGGCTATCTCAGCCAGGAGAGAGCCCCACTGCTTCCACACAATGGGGAAAGCTAACTTGTAGAGAATGGCATCAAGCTAAATAGTATCTTTGCCACCAAGAAGTATGTTCTTGCATAACTGGGGCCATTTCAAAATGTGGAGATCAAGAGTATAGAAGTCCAAGGGCAACCTAGGCAAAAAGTTAGTGAGACTCAATCTCAATCAATAAGCTAGACGCAATGGTATGCCCATGAGAAGCATAAACAGGAGGACTACAGTTCAGCCCTAGACAAAAACAAAAACCCTACCTGAAAAGCAAAAGAAGCTGGGGGTAGAATTCAAAAAGAGCTCAAGTGGTAGAGAGCCTGTCTAGCAGGTGCAAAGCCCTAAGTTCAAACCCCAATACCACTAAAAAAGAAAGTGACAATTCTTGTACCCTTTTCTATTTTTTTGGGGGGGGGGAGAAATGATGGTTCTGGGGTTGAATTCAGGGACTGGGCACTGTCCCTGAGCTTCTTTTGCTCAAGGCTCACAATCTACCACTTGATCACAGCATCACTTCCTGGTTTTTCTGAGTTTATTAGAGATAAGAGTCTTTTGTGCCCTGGCTGGCTTTGAACCACAATCCTCAGATCTCAGCCTCTGGAGTAGCTAGAATTGTAGGCATGAGCACCCAGCTACTTCCTGTCTTTTGAGAAGCAATGACAGCAGACTCCTTACCTCCGGTATCTTGGTTCCAAATCTTCACCTTGGAGTCATGGGATGAGGTAGCAACTACGGGCATCAGGGTCGATTTTCTTGGTAGAAAGACACAGGATGCAACTGTCTGGAAATGCCCTTTATACTCGCATATTCTGTCTCTTGTCTGCCTCAAGTCCCACAGCTGCAAAGAAATGACATTGACCAGCTCATGCAAAAGTAATGACGTTAAGCAGTTCATGCATACATGCTCCTCTATTTCATACCTGCTTTATCCAGCAACATCCATCCTCCTACAGCCCACCTGTTCCTCCAGCTGCCTACTCAGGCAGCTATGCAAACTCTCTACCTTTGGCTAGCATATCACCTGTTCATTGGCCCAGTGACCCCATATGATGTCTTACTGTGGCTTCGCAGCCTTCACCACCAAAGCCATTGCTGCAGGAGATGCATTTGTATCCATCCATGCTGACTTCACAGTGGGTCTGAATGTGCTGCTTTGTGGGAAACATATGAGCTACCTGCAGGCCCCGACTGTCCCACAATCTGAAATGAATGAGGGCAGGAAATGGCTTTTTAGTAAGCCTGACTGAGACTCACCAGTAATATCCTGCTAACATGAAAGTCAGAATGGAATGTCTGGATCTACCTGAACACAGCAGCACAAACCAGACTGAACACTACAACTCCAAGGCTGACAGTAAATAACAAATGAATGACATCTGAGTTCTTTCAACTTTGAGATCACTTCATAGAAATTTGGACCATCGGTTTGATTTTACAAGTTAATGTGGTCCTTTGGGATGTTGCCTTCAGTGTCCAAGAGGCTCTTTGTGTGATTGAATGTGTAAAAATATACTCATTGTGAGATAGCATCATCAGTCCAAAATCAGATATGGGCCTTGGCCTGCTTTGACCATGGAGCCCACAGAAGAGGGATTTGCCTCTTGTCTCATTCTTACACTTTTATAGAAGCTGTTCCAAATGCTGATTTTTAGTCATACTCTCCACACTAAGAATTACTGACCTCCTGTTGTGGATATGAACCCTGATAGGATAGAGGATAGAGGCTGAGGCTGGATGGCTGAGAAATGCAGGAGCCATGCAGGCATAATAAAGGTAGTCAGGCAGCCTTAGAGGAGAGATGTGCAGACAACTGATTGATCCTGAGATCAATGTGGACACATCACTGGATGGGAGCTATCTCAAAACAATCCAGAACGTGGGCCTTTTTCTAACCTACTTTCCTGGCATCTAGTATGGACCCAGAAGACCATGGGGCTAAACCAGAGGCCAAGCACTAGTGAGGGTTAGGGGTGGGAGGCTCTGAAAAGTCCATGGCACGAGGAGAAGCAGAGTGCATGCAGTCATGAGAGCATGGGAGCCACAAACCTTCACCAGAAACATCTCTACTGCTGCTCAGTAGCCCACCTGAGGGTTTTGTCTTCGGAGCTCTGAAGTATGTAGGGCTCGCTGGGGACCCAGCACAAATGGGTGACCTGGAAAAAGCCAGACCTTCAGCACCTCTCCACACCAAGTTGTCCTCTGCATCATCTGGTGAACGGCACTAAGCATCATCTCTTCCCCCTTCCTCACAGATTCTAAACCAGTAAATTTAACTTCCTGGTGTCTTGCTAGTTAGCAGCAGCAGTAGTAGCAGCTGGGCCAGCTCTATGCTCTTAGAGGCATGTGAGCCTTCAAGGTTGGCCTTTTGGTGTGTGACCCCAGGAAGTGGCGAGTGGCTGTTGACAGATTCTGTCTGAAACTAGGGCTGGTGGTGAGATCAGATGTTCATTGCTTGCCTACTATGTGCCAGGCTCTGACTCTTGTCCCCAGCACCACAAAAGAAACAAACGAAAAAACTATACAAACACATGATTTGATGTCAGCTCTGACTGATCTGGCTGTGCAATTTATACTAGTCTGTTGCCAGAAAACAACTGGCCTTCAAAACCAGAGCCACTTATACCCAGCAAAAGTAATGCTCATTTCCACATGGTGTTCCATGGAGAGGGGCCACCTTCTATGCTACCCTGTACATGTCATCTGGGAGCTCCTGAAGGACAAGGAGCTGTCCTTCATCACTAATCTTGGTTCCTAATACGACATCCCTAGCTAGCTAGCCCTTAGAAAGGATTCCACAGGAAGAATGGAATACTTGTATTTCAAGAATGAATAAAGAATGGGCCACCAGTGGCTCATGCCTGTAATCCTAGCTACTTTGAAGGCTGAGGATCTGAGGATCAATGTTCAAAGCCAGCTCAGGCAGGAAAATCTGTGAGACTCTTATCTCCAATTAATCACCAAAGCCAGAAGTAGACTGTGGCTCAAGTGACAGAGCACAAGCCTTGAGTAAAAGCTAAGGGACAGTGCCCAGACCCTGAGTTTAAACAAACAAACAAACAAAACAGAATGAATGCATAGCATTTCAGATTCCAGTATCATCCAATGAGATCATTCTCTAGAGCAGAAGACTCAAGAGTCCATCTAAACCAACAATACTGAGAGGCCAGGGCCTCACAGGAATTTCATGGGACCAAAATTGGGACTTGAGTCTGAAGCCTGACTGAACATCCCTTGACCTATTTCCCAGGCCAGGACCCCCACCCCACGCTGCTAACCATGGAAGCCAGGGCCTGAACACGTACCAGGTTCCTGGAGACAGATGCCCTCTCCACACACTGTCCGGTCCCCACGTCCCACAGCAGCAAGGTGTTGTCTCGTGAGCCAGTACACAGCTGTGATGAGTCTTTGGAAGCAAAGGTGAGAAGACGGCCCATGAGAGGGTACTAGCTGGGGAGCGCGGGGTGTACCGGAGTAGTAGGAAGACAGACGTTTTGTTTACCTGGGCTCACAGCCAATCCGGTGACCACCATGGCATGGCCACTTAGTTGCTGCGTTGGCTGTGAGGTGCCATGCAGGTCCCACATCATGACCATCCTGTCTCGAGAGGCGCTGAAGAACTGGGTGGATTTGGGAATGATGGCTACCTGCTCAGGAGACAAGTAAAAATGGAAATAGCCTGGGTGCTCACAGTTCTGTGAAATCACATCACTACTATCCCTCCCTTTTTTTTAAGTATAACAACTAAATTTGCAATAGAAATGGAAAGTGCACCATTCTCAGTGTTATAGACCCCTCCCATCCCTCCATGTCCTCTACCACCTCCTCAGACTGCCTCCACACCAGGCTCTCTCCCTCTCTGTGTTCTAAGTGGAGCACAGTGTGGCACACGGAGCACACGGCTCTGCTGTATTCCTCTCATCAATTACTTTATGTCGCAATCACTTTCATTGCACCTGGTTTTCAAAGAGGCGGTATCTATTTATACGTGTGTGTGTGTGTGTGTGTAATGAAAGTTACCATTTTAAGCATTCTAAGTTACAATTCAGGGCTATTAAGTGCATTCCCAGTGTTATATAACCATCACCATCACACATTTCTACACCTTTCTCACTATAGCCAGAACTTTCTTATATTCTCCTCTTCCTGGCCTGTTACTACTACTTCATTCTATTTTCTCTCTCAGCTGGGCTATTAGCACCTCAGGAAAGGGGTGATACAGTATTTGTCCTCTCCTGCCTGGCTTCACTCACTAAGCATAGTGCTCTCTGCACTTACCACATAGTAATAGGTACTGAAATTTCCCTCCCTCCCTCCTTCCTTCCCTCCCTCCTTCCTTCCTTCATTCCTTCCTTCCTTCCTTCTTCCCTCCCTCCCTCTCTTCCTTTCCATCCCTCTCCCTCTCTTCATTTCTTGCTTGCTTTTTTCTCTTTCTCCCTTCCTTTTTGTTTTATTCATTTATTCATTTGCAGTGCTAGGGACTGAGGCTAGAGTCTCACACATGCTAGCAGGCATTCTACCACTGAGATACCTCAATTTCATTCTACACCCAGAGTGTCATTGCTTTTCTGAGGCTGAAAAATATTCCACTGTGTGCATAGATTTCCACATTTCATTTTTGTTTGATGCCATGCTCCACTCTTTCTGGAGTCAGGCAGAAAGTTTCACAGTTTTCCTCGACACTGAGTGTTTAGTCATTCTCATATTGCTATCTATCTCTATTCAGTTCCAGATCCCATCAGAATAGTCATTTGACAATTACCTTGGTGACATCACGTTCATGTCCTCTGAACCTCTTCACCACATTTCCCGTTTTCCAATTATAGGCCACAACAGTCTGCAGGAGTCAGGAAAACGGTTTACTCCTCCATTTTCTATTAAGGCTACTATACTGCACTTTCTTTTAGCTTTTTTAGTTGTTGCTTTTGGCTGATCATGGGGCTTGAACTCAGGACCTGGGTGCTGTTGATGAGCTCTTTTCTTCAAGGCTACCATTCTACCACTTTGAGCCACAGCTCCACTCCCTGTTTTCAGGTGGCTAATTGGAGATAAGAGTCTCATGGGGACTTTAAATTGTGATCCTTAGATCTCAGCCTCCTGAGTAGCTAGGATTACAAGCATGAGCCACTGGTAACCAGCTTACTATTTAAACTTTTTTTGTGTGTGTGCTGTCCTTCAGCTCTTCAACTCAAGGCTAGCACTCTACTACTTGAGCCACAGTGCCACTTTCCGTTTTTTTCTGCTTATGTGGTGCTGAGGAATCAAACCCAGGGCCTCATGCATGCGAGGCAAACACTGAGCCACCTTCCCAGCCCTATTTAAACTACTTTTAAATGTACAGTTCGATACTGTCAAGAATATTCACATGACTATGGAACAAATTATTTTTTTAATTTGAAAAACCTCAACATAATCTCATCTACCAAAGAGAATCACTGTGAAAATTTCTCTCTCCATTCTTCTTCTAGTGGTGTACTTGAATATTTTACTGTAAGCATTTCTTTGATTTTAAAGCATTTTCTGCAGTGTCCACAGTGTCCTGTTGCACTTGACATAATACCAGTTTCTTATGACTTAATATGATATAAATGTTAAGACAAGCTGTATCAACTAAGTTATAATACATACATGTATCCTGATTTGAGGTGTTCAGAGTTTGAAAGTACATGTATCTTAGAACAAGCAAAATACAGTACGCAAGCTATAGATTTCTAAAACACTACTGAAATGTATGATTCACTTCAAAAGCAATGAGCATTTCTGTTACCAATATCCTAGCAGCAAGCACTGGCTAGATCCTAATATGAAGGGATGAAAGCGATCGGATTCAAAATGACCCTGGGAGGCAAGTCCAAAACCTACAAGGGAAGAATCATGGTATAATGCCAATGTAGACACTGGCAAAAGAGAAGAGACTAGAATGTGCCTTTTGCCAACAACTCATATGTCTGCATGTTGTCATAAAAATAGCTTAGTTGGAATAATGCCTGTGGTTATAAAAAGCATACAGGTGGCCTGGAAGAGAGTTAAGACTCTTATGTATGTTCTCTCATTTAATTAATCCTCGCAAGGGCCATTATGAGATTGGTGTTATAATCCTCATGGAATAGACACTGAAACTAAAGTTCAAAAAATGTGAAGCTTAGAGGCTGGGAAAGTGGCTCAGTAGTAGAGTGCTGGCCTTGCATGCATGAGGCCCTGGGTTCAATTCCTTAGTACCACAGAAAAAGCCAGAAGTGGCGCTGTGGCTCAAGTGGTAGAGCTCTAGCCTTGAGCTGAAGAGCTGAGGGACTGTGCCCAGGCCCAGAGTTCAAGCCCCACAATTGACAAAAAATAAATAAAAAATAAATTTAAAAAAATGTAAAGTTGAGGCTGGGAGTGGTAGTGTACTTGCCTAGTATACATGAAGCCCTGGATTCCATTTCTCAGAAGCATGTAAACAGAAAAGGCTTTCCTCTGAAAGCATCTTTCCTTCCTGTAGTGAGTTGGCGTCTTGGGGACACAGCAAAGCTCACCTTATCTTTTCCCCCAGAGACACAAAGGTCTGAGTTCAGAGCAGCAACCACAGAGACAGCATCCATATGAGCAGGGCTATACTCTTGAAAAGTTCTACTTTGTATTCTCTCTTCTATAATCCCATCAGACCTGCTGCAGAGAGGACAGAACATGAGAAGCCCAAGGTCTGAAAGTGGACACAGCAACAAGGGACAGAGGAGGGTGGTGGTGGTAGCAATTCAGGGAAGTCTGGGGAAGGGGAGGGTGGAGAGGAAAAAGAGTAAAGAGACATGACAACTTTGTCATATTATTCATTCTGAAAATGGCCAGTGAGTAACTGAAATCCGATCAAAGGGAATCCTGAATCAGGTACAGTGGCTCACACCTACAGTCCCAGCTACTTGGAAGGATCACAGTTCAGGCCAGCCCAGGCAAAAAAGTCATTGAGACTCCTCCTTAACCAATAAAGCCCAGTGTACATCCTTGTCACCCTAGCTATCTGGGAAGTGTAAATAGAAAAATCACAGTCCAGAATGGTTCAGGCAAAAGCACAAGACCCTATTCAAAATAAAAATGGCTAGAAGTATGGAGAGAGTGTGGTAGTGCCTACCTACCAAGACCAAAGCCCTGAATCCAAATCCTCATACTATTAAAAAAAAAATTAAAAAAGAAAAAAAAGGAAGAGAGAACTCCCCAAGAGTCTTTACTCATTCTAGAAACAAATCCCAAAGCTGCAGGGCCCCTGCATGTGCTGGGTAGACACTAGCTAAGAAGCAGACACTATTTCCTATGCACAAGGGAAGCAGACCAAGCTTCTGGGGGAAGGGAAGGTCATTAACAGTGGCTCTGCACATTCTCTTCCTTTAGTAGAGGGTTTTTGTTTTGTTTGTTTCTTTGTTTGCTTGTTGAGACAGGATCTCCCTATGAGGTCTAGGCTACATTATACAAACTCATTATGTAAGAGAATGTGAATGGGGCTTGGTAAGAGTTAGTTGCCCAGGCAGCATTGCTGTACCTGTACTTGTAAGTGCTGTGTTTGAGTTTGCTCTGCAGTTTCCCCATCACAACACCGAGTGTACCCGGAACCTTCTGAGGAGCTTGTTTCAGTTGGCATCTGAGTAGCAGCATTCCTTGTAGTTGCCAGAATTTCTGTTCCCTGTTTAGTAAAGAGAAGAAAGCATATTGTAAAATTTATTAGGCACAGCATGGTAGTATGGTTAGGTTAAATCTTTAAAAAAAAATTATTTCTGGCAGCACTGTCAATTGACAGTGCTTGTGCTTGCTAGGCAAGACCTCTTTCAATTGAGCCAAGGTTCCGGTCCTTTCTTACTTTAGCTATTTTTCAGATAGGGTCTCATGCTTTTTGTCAAGGCCAGACCTTGGACAGGCCACGTATAGGAGAATCACAGTCCAGTATTGATCTCCAGGCAAAATTGCAAAATCCTACCCGAAAAAGCAACTAGGTTCTCACTTGTTAAGTTTCACTTGAGAAATGCCCCCAGTCCCTTTTTTGTTTGTTTCAGTTATTTTTTTTCAGGTAGGATCTTGCAATACAAAAACAAGAAAGAAAGAAAAGAAAGAGGGGTAAGGGTTCCTGAGACTTTTAGAGAGTATGCAAGATCTTTTTTTTTCTTTTTTTGGTGCTAGACCTGGGGCTTGAACTCAGGTCCTGGGCACTGCTTCTGAGTTTTGTTGCTCAAGGCTAGTACTAGACCATTTGAGCTATAACTCTACTTCTGTCTTTTTTTGGTGCTTAATTGGAGATGAGAGTCTCACAGACTCTCCTGCCCAGGATGACGTTGAACCATGATCCAAGGATCTCAGCCTCCTGAGTAACTAGGATTATAGGCATGAGCCATGGGCACCTCACTCTTACTTTCTTTCATACTTCAGCACAAGCAACATATTGTAGTAGATGGAATGTAGAAGCAGATAAGAAAAAAACTTGTGTTCTATTTCAGCCAAACATGAAAGGGATTTGCAAAAACATAATACCATTCTTTCTAACTGATCTAGCAATTAATAACTTGGTGATACATATCTAAATACAAATTGTCTTCCAATTTACTTATATTGGCTCCATCAACAAACAAGGCTAGAACTAAAAGGAAGAATGAATTATGATTCTGAGATATTCTCCATTAACTCAGGAAACACCTTCTAAGCATGTAACAAGTTGTTGGTTCACTAAGAATGGTGATACACCAAGAAGAGACATTTGCTGGCACTGAAGAATCTGTTTAGGGAAAATCTCAGCTACTGAAGGTCCCATGTTATCCACAAGGACTGAGGAGACAAGTGGAATGCCCAGCCACTACTTCTGGAGGTCTGTTTAAAGAAGCTCAGAAAGATAAATGTCTTTGAGTTTTGACCAGCCTGGCTCCAAGAACTGTCTACTATGAGAGCACAGGGAAAACTCATCACACAGACATATCATTCATACCTCTACCATTGAAAAATGGGGTTTCCCAGAAGTGCAGCTTACATTTTGAGAACTTGCCAGGACTGACATCCTTGACAGGGGTAGGGGACCTAAACAAAAACACAATGCAGTGGGCAAGGATACAGGCTGTGGCACAACAGCCGGAGCTCTGGGCCCAGCACTGCCTCATTTTTGTCTCAGCCTTGAGCGGCTCCAGTCCCCACCCTGGGCCTCAGCCTTCCTGTCTAACACAGCAAGACACTAACATGATTTTTAGTAGACTCTGTCATTATTTATCTTTGTACCTCAAGTGGCTCTCAGAAGAGAATCTCAAAGCCTTCTAGTCCAGATGTTCCAGGAGTCTTTGTCAGATATGCTCAAATTTCAGGGTAACTTCCAAAAAGCTTGGGGTGAGTGTTGTTTGTAGCTAGACAGAGGGTTTCTGCCAGCTTAATCCATCAAAATTGTCACACCAAACAGACTCAAGACAGAGGCTGTCCATGAATCTAGGTCACTGGCGACTGCTCCATAAGTGGATTGGCTGGGCTTACAACTGATTGTATTCTTAGCTGCTATCTTCAGAAAGCTATATTGCCCAGGTTAAGGGTACTCACGGGAGAGTTTAAGGAAAAGGAAACATTAGAACCACTTACCCCCAAGTTAGTACGATCTTCTTAGTGAGCTGCCGTGTTCAATCTGTAATGTTTATCCTTTGGAAAATAGTTCAGGCAGCCACTTCCTAATCTCTGTAATTAGTGAAAAGATGTTTACATTAATCTCTTCCCTGGCTAAGCATGTATGTATGCCCTGAAGAGATTCAAGAGATAAATCTTTGTTTTTATACACTTAGTCTGTGTTTAACTGAAAAGATGGCTTTCCCACTCAAAGATAGAAAGAATTTACAACATTCCTAGATTGTAATTTTCATATTTCTACTAGTAAAAATAGCGCTCATTATACATCTTTCTTTTGTGATACTAGGGTTTGAACTTAGGGTCTTTTGTAGGCCATCTACCATGTGAGTCATTCCCCCAGCCTGTTTTTACTTTTCATTAGTTTCTAATAGAATCTTACTTTTAGGCAAGATTAGACCACAATCCTTTTTTTGCTTTTAACACAGCTTTTTATTAGTTGAGTTGAGAGACCTCAAACTTTCCTCCCAGGCTGACTTTGAACCACAATCCTCCCAATCTCAGATTTTCAAGTAGCAAGGATTACAGCTGTGAGGCAGTCAGTGCTCCTGGCTGTTTGTTAAATATACAAAATAGGTGCTCTTGCAAATTAAACACCTTGATCTTACTCAAATTATAGTACTTCTGTTCATCAAGAATCTGCTGTGTTAGGAGGTGAGATGGAGGTGTAAAACATTGTAGAGATGTATGAGAATGTCACAATAAGCGCCCCTCCACCACTTATAAAACAAAGGTATGATAAAAAAAAAAATCTAGGCAGGTGCCAGTGGCTCACACCTGTAATCCTAGCTACTCAGGAGGCTGAGATCTGAGGACTGTAGTTCTGACAATTGGAGATTCTTTTTTGGGGGGGGGGTGGGGGGGGTCCGGTCGTGGGGCCTGAACTCTGGGTCTGGGCGCTGTCCCTCAGCTCTTCAGTTCAAGGCTAGTGCTCTACCACTTGAGCCACAGTACCACTTCTGGCTTTTTTCGTTTTGCTTATGTGGTGTTGAGGAATAGAACCCAGGGCCTCGAGCATGCAAGGCAAGCGCTCTACCACTGAGCCACCTTCCCAGCCCACAATTGGAGATTCTTATCTCCAAATAATCACCGGAAAACAGAAAGAGCTCTGGCTCAAAGTGGCTGAGCACTAGCTGAGTGAAAAAAAACTCAGGAACAGTTCCCAGGCCCTAAGTTCAGGCCCCATGACCACTACTAACAACAATCTGCAGTGTTAGCTGCTTACTTCACAGTTTACTGCTTTTGTCTTTTGTTGTTGGTTGTCAGTTATGGGGCTTGAACTCTGGGCATGGGCAATGTCCCTCAGCTCTTCAGTTCAAGGCTAGCGATCTACCACTTGAGCCACAGCACCACTTCCAGTTTTCTGAGTAGTTTATTGGAAATAAGAGTCTCACAGACTTTCTTGCCTGGGCTGGCTTTGAAGCGCAATCTTCAGATCTCAGCCTCCTGTGTAGATAGGATTACAGGCATGAACCACCAGCACCCGGCTTGCTTTTGTCTTAAATAAGTATGAATCACAGAACTTGAGGTGGAAAATATTTTTCCATATTATCACATATAAACTCTTCATTTAAAGGTATGGAGAACACACGAACATTATTTGATCAAAATTAGAACTAGGTAGATCTCTTGATTTCTAGCACAGAGTCTCCATTATAAACATCTAAACACAACAATTTTATTCCATTTTTAACATCTCTTAGGGTTCAATTAATTCTAATAATTGATTGCCTGTACAGTTTATTTTGAAAATCAAAAGTAGCACAGATTAATGAGAATAACATTTGAATAAAAGAGAAATAACCAACCCTTGGGATTGGAGGCACGGTTCAGTTGATAGAGCACTAGCCAATGAATGAAAGCATAAGGGATTGAGTTCAAGTCCCAGACTCAAGCCAAAATAAAAAATAGAGAGGGAGAATAACATTTGCCAAAGTGCATTACTATCTGAATTTAGGCTAAGTCTGAATTACAGGTTTCCTGTGGCCTTTGGCAAGTTGCTGAGCCTTTTTAAATTTCAGCTTCATAAGTGCAAAATGTGGTAACTCTGTTGCTAGCTCTGTGAACGTTAAAAACAGTACTTAAAGTATGGGCTCAAGCTTATAATCCTAGCTACTTGGGAGATAGAGATCCTTATTTGAGGGTCATTATTTGAGTAAAGACTGGGCAAAAATGGACAAGAGTGCATTTCAACCAATGGTTGGGCATGGTGGTATATGCCTGTCACTACATGGAAAACACAAATGGGAGGATGTTGGTCCAGGCTGCCCTGAGCATGGGGTGAAATTCTATCTCAAAGATGCTAAACTCAGGCTGGGAAGGTAGCTCAGTGGTAGAGTGCTTGTTTTGCATGCATGAGACCCTGGGTTTGATTCTTCAGCACCACATAAGCAGAAAAAACCAGAAGTGGTGCTGTGGCTCAAGTGGTAGAGCGCTAGCCTTGAGTTGAAGAGCTCAAGGACAGCGCCTAGGCCCAGAGTTCAGGCACCATGACTCCCTCCCCTCCTCCCCCCCCCCCCCCCCCCCCCCCGCAAAGATGCTAAACTCAAAAAGGACCGATGGAGTGTCTGAGGAGGTGGTGGAATACCTACCTAGTAAACTCAAGGCCCTAAGTTCAAAATCCAGTGCTGTCAAAAAAAAAAAAAAAAAAGCACTTGCTGGGTGCTGGTGGCACACGCCTGTAATCCTAGCTATTCAGGAGGCTGAGATCTGAGAATCGCAGTTCAAAGCCAGCTAGGGCAGGAAAACCTGTGAGACTCTTATCTCCAATAAACTACCAGAAAATTGGAAGTGACACTGTGGATCAAGTAGTAGAGCACTTGAGCTAAAGAGCTGAGGGACAGCATTCAGGCCCAGCATTCAAACCTCACAACCAAAAACAAAAAACACTTAAGGTAAGTCAGAAACTCCTCTAAGTGCTTTGTATTTATTCATTTAATCTTCCTAAGCCACTAAAACAATCACCATAACCATTTAGTAGATGAAAACAGTAAAGCACAGAGATGAAATAACTCCCTTATGTAAGTCACACTGAGAATAAGCCATAGAGCTGAAACTTGAATCCCACCATGACTCCAAATCCTACTCTTGGCCATAAGGCATTGCACCTCTACAAAAGCTAGTGATAAAAACTTGCAGTTCAACCTATAAACGTTGATAATCTATGATAGTTATAAGTCCAGTATGGTGATACATTACTGTTATCACCAGCACACAGGAGGCTGAGCCTAAAGAATCAAGAGTTCAAGCCCAGCTTGGGCTACATAGCACGTTTCAAGCCAGTCTGAGCTACACAGTAAGAACCTCCTCAAAAACAAAACATGCTGGCTGCTGGTGGCTCACACCTGTAATCCTAGCTACTCAGGAGTGTGAGATCTGAGGATTCAAAGCCAGCCTGGACAAGAAAGTCTGTTAAGACTCTTATCTCCAATCAACCACCAAAAGAGAGAGGCAGGAGTGGTAGAGCTGTGGCTGAAGGGGTAGAGTGCTATCCTTGAGCAGAAAAAGCTCAGGAACAATACGTAGGCCTTGAATTCAAGCCCCAGGACTGGCACGTGTACACACACACACACACACACACGCTCACATTCACATTGTTTATTAGTATAATTACAAGACTAAGAGTAATAACACAATACAGCAAATTCATGTATATTAGTACTATCTTACTACATACATATGTATATACATATATAAACATACCCAATATATACAGAGAGCATGTACAAATGAATACACAAGTCTAGAGGATGTTAAAATGAAGCTCCTTATATTCTTAGAGTGGTGAATCACACTAAGGCTAAGAATTCATTATGTTATACAGCAAGGCAATTTAAAATCTGGTTAATGTCTCTGCTCTTATTCATTATGAGTAGACTAAAAAATGAAAACAGTATTTCATTATTTTTCATTGTTTATATTATGACTGTGCTTGAGAGGAAGGATAATGTCTTATTCACTTTTGTGTCTGTGTTCTGAGCATAGCCTGGAAGAATGGATAGGAGGCAACTAGCTGTTGAATGAATGAACAGCATTCTAAAAATGAAGAATTAGTAGAAAGCTTTTTAAGGACCTGACATAATGGTCTTTTTGTTTCTTTTCTTTTTGCCGTTTTGAGACAGAATTTCACTGTGTTGTTCAAGATGGCCTCAAAGACGGATGCTGGTGGCTCACGCCTGTAATCCTAGCTAGTCAGGAGGCTGAGATCTGAGGAACGCTGTTCAAAGCCAGCCCTGGCAGGAAAGTCTGTGAGACTTGTATCTCCAATTAACCACCAGAAAAACTGAAAGTGGTGCTGTGGCTCAAAGTGGTTGAGTGCTAGCCTTGAGCAAAAGAGCTCAGGGACAGTGCCCAGGCCCTGAGTTCAAGCCCCAGGACTGGCAAAAACAAACAAACAAACAAAACAAACAGAGAAAGAAACAGAGAGAGAGCCTCGAAATGGCAATCCTCCTACCTTAGTCTTCTGAATGCTGGGACTACAGGTATGTACCACAACACTCAACTACAATAGTCTTGGTTTATTTTTCTTGGGGGGGGGGGTAGTCCTGGGTCTTGAATTTGTGACCTGAGCACTGTAATCTGAGCTTTTTTTTTTTTTTTTTTGCTCAAAGCTGGTGCTCTACCACTTGAGACACGTATTCACTCCAGCTTTTTGCTGGCTACTTGGAAATGAGTTTCACAGACTTTTCCTGCCAAAGGTAGCTTTGAACTATGATCCTTGGATCTTAAGCTCCTGAGTAGCTAGAATCACAGGTGTCCCACTTTACAACAGCCTTTTGAAACTATCCAACAACATTCCTGGGGCTCAGTCACCCTATCTCATTTCAGAGTTCAGCCCTGAAAGGCTTGAGAGACTTCCTTTCAGGATGTCCATGTTTGTTCTAGATGAACCCCAGCACCTATTTCTGTCAAAATTTGCTTTCCAAAGACCCTGACGTAACACCACGAGTTACGACGAGTTACTCTATACCTAAGCTCAGAGAACTCTTTGAACCTTCCACAGTGATATTCCTTGATACACATATCCAACCTTCATGTTCCGTGACAAAAAAAAAAAAAAAAAAATAGAACCCAAAGAGTCGTGACTTGTGTTAAGGGTTGTGACAGAGGCAGAGCTGGGTGGACAAGAACGTTATTTCCCCGGTCTTTTTCCTAGCGCTCGTTTCCTATCCTCTCTTCCCAAGTCATCCTCTGCACCCCTCTAGCCTACCGTCTCGGAGATCAAGATATCCAAGCCCATGCTCAGACAGACACAACAGCGCGGCCACAGAGACGCCCGCGGGAGGCCGTCGGAGTCCACATGGGGTTAAGAGAGACCCCGGCCCGGAGGACCGGAGGGCCGAAGCCCGCAGTCACGCACGCTCCCCGGAGCTGGGGGCCGCCTGTGTGCAGGTGTCCCCTTGTGGCTCTTCAGATCTGAACCGCGTCCCGCCCCGTCCGCGATTCGCCCTGCAGCGGCTGTGCGCAAGCACGGGGGGCCGGCCTCGCCGCGGCCCGCGGCCCGCGCCAAGCCAGCAGCCCCCAGCCCGGCGCACACGCTCGGAACCCCCCCCCCCTGCCGCGACTAGGTGAGCCCCCAACTCCCCGTCGCTCCCCTTTCTGCCACCTCCGGCTCCGTACCCACCGGTGGGCTGGCAGGGATGATGCCCAGGCCCGCGGGGACGCGAAGCTGGCAGCCGCAGCCTCCACGGCCGGCCCAACCTCCCGCCCCCCAGCAACCAGGCGCGCGTTGCTAGGGCGGGAGTCCCCGCAAAAAGGCTCCGGGCGCCTCCCAAGGACTCAGAACTTAGGTTCCGGACCGCTTCCCGGAAGTCTCCCAAGGACCGGGAACCGAGAGCACCTGGCGCCCCCGTTCTACTGTAAAAGTGGCAGTGCGCAGGATCGTGCCCCCGGGTAATTTACATAACCCGAGCAAAGCAGGGCCTCTGGAAGAGCCACTGACAAGCGCGTAACAACCCCAACTTTGAACTCACCACTTACCCTGCAGAAGGTGTTGCCTTATTTGCCCCAGATCTTTCTCTTGGACACTTCCTCAGCACCCCACTCTCCTATTTTTCTTTTTTTCAACAAACTGTGACAGCCTGGCGTCGTGGCAAGAAATTGTGCGTATCTTTTGAGCTCATCCAAGTGGGAAGACAGACAAACTAACAGTAACTATAAGTTTGGGCAACTCCAGTTGCATCGCTTCCAGACTAGAGTCTACTCCTCTCGACTCTGATGCACACAGCATGAGGCTTGTTGGGGGTCTGATCATTTAATAGGGGCTTATTGAAAAAAACGTTGTTGTTTTTGTTTTTCAATAGCAAAGGGCAGGTGGCTCACACCTGTACTCGTAACTGCTCAGAAGGCTGAGATCTGAGAATCTCAGTTCGAAGCCAGCACAAGTAGGAAAAGTCCAAGAAATTCTTGTCTCAATTAACCAGAAAAAAAAAAAAAAGCTGGAAATGGCGTTGTGGTTCAAGTGGTAAAAGACCAGCCTTGGGCAAAAAAAAAGCTAAGGCACAGTGACCAGGCCCTGAGTTCAAGCCCATGTGGCATATACATAAAAAGGATATTGAATGAGTGAATGTATAGGTTCCTAACCAACATTTCTTTCACACTCTATGATAGAGGGCCCCTCTTCAATGGGTAGATCTCCCAGTAGAAGGGATTTGTAAAATCTCTGACAGTTGGGTGACTATGGGCAGTGGGTTTGACCGGAGAAGTTTTTTTTTTTTTGCCAGTCATGGGGCCTGAGCTCTGGGCCTGGGCGCTGTCCCTCAGCTCTTCAACTCAAGGCTAGCACTCTACCACTTAAGCCACAGCTCCACTTCTGGCTTTTTCTGCTTATGTGGTGCTGAGGAATTGAACTCAGGGCCTCATGCATGCAAGGCAAGCACTCTACCACTGAGCCACCTTACCAGCCCCGTTGACCGAAGAAGTTTTGTCTTCACAAAATATCAATTCTGGCCGGGCGCTGGTGGCTCACGCCTGTAATCCTAGCTACTCAGGAGGCTGAGATCTGAGGATTGCGGTTCAAAGCCAGCCCGGGCAGGAGAGACCGTGAGACTCCTATCTCCAATAAACCACCAGAAAACCGGAAAAGGCGCTGTAGCTCAAGTGGTAGAGCGCTCGCCTTGAGCTGAAGAGCTGAGGGACAGCGCCCAGGCCCAGAGTTCAAGCCCCACGACCGACCCCCCCCCCCCCCAAAAAAAAAATCAATTCTGGCCACTGGGTCTATCTTCCAACCCAGGGAGGGAATCTCCTTTGAAGCAACTCTGGTTGGAGCCTTTCTAGCCCCTGATGCTCCCTCCTTGATGATGCATTCATTACATTCTAAGTTAGTGGACTGTTATTGGGAGACTCCCCACCCCACACCCCTGGCAGGTACTAGGCTATACCCTCATGCCACTTAAAACACTGATCTTATTCAGATTGAAGACTCTTCCTACAAGTTTTGTCCCTCTTCTTATTGCTTTGTGCTAGGATTTATGCTGTGTGCTAGGGCAACTGGGCTTGGCTCAGGTTGAGTTGCTAGATTCCCGCCCTCAATATGCTGCTGGCTAGGGGTGAAGCCCTTTTGGGAGGTACTTAAGGATTACAACATCTGATATTTATTCCAACCTGATTGTGCAGACCTCTGGGAGAGGTCTCTGTCTCTGAGCCACACCTGTATATCCACTTTCACCCTGCCCACCCGCCTAAAAGACTCATCATCCTTCTCATGACTCACACGAGAAACATCATTCCCCCCCCCACAACCTGTTCCTCCTCTTTTTTTCTCTAGCTGCTGGCTGCTATCATTTATCAATCACCCACACTAAGGATCTAGGAGTTATTTTTAACATCTCTCTTTTAAAAATAAAATCTACCCATTACTCCCAAGACATCATCTGGGTTTCAAGCCAACATCATCTAAGAGAGGTGAAAATGACCACCAATCTTTGCAGCATCTGCCCATCAGTACTGCTTTGTAAACTTGATTTTGCCCAAGTCTGTTTGAAAGGCATGACCCATCTAACAGCTAGCACCAAATGATACTGTTTTATATTATCCACCCCTTGTTGAACAATAAATGATGTAACTAAGAATAACCACTGGCAGAACAGCCCAGCTAAACCCAGCCCAATTTGTTAAAACCCCAGAATGAAGAGCAAATACAGAGTTTTCATTTTATGCCACTAAACTATGGATAGTGTGTTATGTTGAATAGATAACTGATGCCCAGGGTGAAGTCTAAATGTATTTATCAGGTCTATAAGACTTGTTCTATTTCTCTTTAGCTTCATTTTCTCATCTTCCTTTTTTTTTTTTCTGGTACTGAGGCTTAATCCCAGGGTCTCGATGCTGTTTCTTAGCCTTTTCACTCAAGGTTGGCACTTTATTGCTCAAGCCACACCTCCACTTCTGGTGCTTTTTTTTTTTTTTTTCAGGTTAACTGGAGATAAGTTTCATGAATTTTCCTGCCCAGGCTGGCTTCAACCCTCAGATCTCAGCTTCCTGAATAGCTAGGATTACGGGGGTCAGCCACCAGCACCCAGAGAGGATTATCCTTTTAAAAAATACTTTCTAGAGTGCTCATGAAAAACAAACAGCTGGGGATGTAGCTCAGTGGAAAATGCTTGCCTTCATGTGCTAGCCCCTGGATTTAATCCCCAACACTGAAAAAAAAAAAGACCCAAATCACATATTATCAAAAAAGTAAACGAAAATGCAGGATATTGAGCAGGTGGACACACGTTTATAAGAATAAATACCTCTACTTGTATCATACAGTGGGGGTGAATAAATGCTTTGTCATACTTGATTTGAAAATACACCTGTTCCAGGGCTGGGGATATGGCTTAGTGGTAGAGTGTTTGCCTAACATGCATGAACCCCTGGGTTTAATTCCTCAGTACTACATAAACAGAAAAAGCTGGAAGTGGCACTGTGGCTCAAGTGTAGAGTGCTAGCCTTAAGCAAAAGCAGCTCAGGGAATCCCCAGGCCCTCAGTAAGAGCCCCAGGACTTTATATATATCTCCCATGTGAATGTGTGTGTGTGTGTGTGTGTGTGTGTGTGTGTGTGTGTGTACATTTGTTCCAGATTTTCATACCACGTAAGCTGTAAGAGTCATTGTTGAAGGGCAGCACAAGTTATAACATAAAAAGAAATCTTGTAGGCCAGGTATTGTGGCTCCTGCCAGTAATCATAGCTACTTAGGAGGCTGAGACTTGGAGGATCAAAATTAGAGGGCAGCCCAAATGGAGTTTGTAACATTTCAATCAGTAGTTAGGTGTAGAGGACACATGCCTGTCATTCCAGCTATCGGGGAGGCTGAGATTGGGAGGAAGGTAGTTCTGGGCCAACATGAACCAAAAAAGTTTCTGAGACTCCATCTTCATGGAAGAAGCTGGATGTAGTAGTGTTTACCTATCACTCCACCATGTTTACCTATCATTCCAGCTATGTTGGAAAGGGTGAAATAGGAGGATCGTGGTTCAGGTGTGAGTCCAGGTAAAAATCAAGACTGATCTCAAAAAATAATAATCAGTGCAAAGGAAGGCTGGAGATGAGGGTTCCGTGGTAGAATGCCTGCTTCACAAGCATGGAAGGAAGGAGAAAGAAAAGAATTTTGCACTGGATGAGCAACACTAACACCAACCCCAGCTACTTGGAAGATAATAAGATCACAATTTTGAATCCTGTCTGGGCTGCACAGAAAGACATTGTTTCTAGATAAAATATTGTCAAAAGTGGCTGGGGATGTAGCTCAGTGGTAGAGTACTTGCCAGCATTCTGAGGCCCTACAAACAATCCCCAGCACTGAAGAAAGAAAAGAAAAGAAAGGGGGTAGGGGAGAATGAGGCAGAAGGGAATGAGGAGAGGGAGATGGATTTTTGAAATAAAAGGTTCACTGAGCAGTTACAGATGCCACAATTACCAGCAGCTGAACTAGGTAACAGTTGGACCAGAGCTAAGAACATTTTTTTTAAAATGAGGGTGGTGAGATGTAATATTTTCAATACAAAAGACAAATAGCAAATCTTTAAAAATGCATATATATTACCATAAATGTACCCTAGGCCATAAAACGCATGGATGAAAAGGGATGAAATGACTGTTTGCAGAAATAAAACGGTAGCATTTTATGAGTTAAATCTTATGATAATGACTATGATCCTTTTTTTTTTGTTTTAGCCAGTATACAAAGTGTGCAGAGCCCATACACTTTCATGTCTAAATTGAGTTTTGCTTGCATGCATGCATGGCATTCCTCCAGCTATTTTATGAACCTCGAGCTTATTAGATTTCATTGTTGAAAATGCAGCATTTTTTTCATATTGAAAATTAGAGGAAGAAGGTAGAAGTTGTTTACATTGAACCTACATTGGCTGTCCATAAAAGATGTAGAACATATTCAGAACTACAAAAATCTTTTGTTCTTGGCCTATAGTTTATTAACTGATCAACAAGTCCCATTTAGTGCCCCTCCATTCTCACACCCTTGTGATTAAAATTAGGGACATCTTGGAAACTTTCTCAGCTAGGTAAGGTGGTTCACACCTGTAATCCTAGCTACTCAAAAAACAGATCTGCCAGGCGCCACTGGCTCAGGCCTGCAATCCTAGCTACTCAGCAGGCGGTGATCAGGAGGATCACGGTTCAAAGCCAGCCGGAGCAGGAAAGTCTGTGAGACTCTTATCTTCAATAAACCACTAGAAAAGCAGAAGTGGCACTGTGGCTC